AGAGAGAGAGAGAGAGAGAATCCCAAGCAGGCTCCACTCTTAGCCCAGAGCCCAACGCAAGGGCTTGATCCCAAGACCCTGGGATCATGACCTAAGCTGAAATCAAGAGTGGGATGCCCGACCAACTGAGCCATCCAGGCGCCCGTGCATGTTATTTTCCATGGTGCACACACAATGCCTCTCTTGTTCTATTCATTCATTCATTCATTCATTTATTCTCTTTTATCCTGCATTCCACACTCCCATTCTGCTTCCCCGCAAAGAGCCATTTTAATGGGCTCGAGGTGTTTCTTTCTGTTCTCATGATTCTTTTTTTCCTTTTTAAATTGTCTTTATTTATTTTGAGAGAGACAGAGACAGCACGAGTGGGGGAGGCGCAGACCGAGGGAGAGAGAGGCTCCACACTGTCAGTGCAGAGCCAGATGTGGGGCCTCGAACCCACAAACCACGAGATCATGACCCGAGCTGAGACCAAGAGTTAGACGCTTAACCGACGGAGCCACCCGGGCGCCCCTGTGTTCTCATGATTCTCGTAGAACGCACAGTGTGGTTCGTGCGCGTGTGTATTTTAACTCGTGTCGAGAGCCTTGTGCCGTCCATTTCATGCTGCTTTCTCCTTTGCCCTCAAGCCAGTTGTTCAGCTCCACTGGTTTCGCCCTGCGTATATCCAGGCGGTTTGCTCTTACCTATTTTCCATTTCCTGGCCTTCTACGTCACCGATATTTTTGCCAGGGGCACATGTTACTTTCATATGCCAGTTCATCCCCAGAGAGGACGTGTACGATGCCCTCAGTGTAGACCCAGGGCGGATGCTCAGGGCTGGAGAGTCAGAAGGGCCTCCAGGAAGAACGGATGGCCGTGCCACAACCAGAAGGAGGAGTGGGGCTGGCCAGGTTAGGGGGACACGGGACCACGCAGTGAGCACAGCGACGTGTAAGGGCACAGGCCTGAGAGCTGGGGGAGCAGAGCGAGCGAGGGGGAAGGTGGAGGGGGGCTGAAGGAGAGCCGGCAGGTCTCGCCGGGCCTTGCAGCCTGCGGTGAGGGATGGGGACTTTATCCTAAGTCAACAGGGAGCCCCCGGCAGGGCTTAAAGCAGGAAAGCAACATGATCTGGTTGGACCTCGTTCCAGTTCGGCCCTGGCTGCAGCGTAGAGAATGGATCGCCTTGCAGGTCCCATTTGGACCACTCAGCATGTCTGCAAACAGCTGGGTGTCTGTCCGTCCAGGCATCTCCCCGTGATCCCCTGTGGACTTCAGAGCCTGTCATAGAATGTCGGCGGGCTCATTGCTCTGGCCTCCCTCCGTCTCCCTGCCTCCACCTCCTCCAGGCACAGGCACACCAGACACAAGGCTCATAAAAGCCCCGGTCAGTTTTCCTATCTCTGGGTCTCCCTCTGCCACCGTCCCCCTCCTGAGCTTACCTCCAGTGCTTACACTGCCCCTCTCCGGGCATCAGATGGGGGATTCATGTTTGCCAAGTGCCCCCTGCCCCCGATGAGCGGTGACTGCTCTTTCTGTCATCCTGGGGCTGTCTCTTTGGTGTCCCGTGGGATCTGCAGTGGCGCCGGGAATCAGCCAGAAGGTAGACACGAAGGCACTGACCTGTCTCCCTGCCGACGCAGGCATCCTGGACGTGGGGCCCTGAGGGCCAGGGGGCCATCCTGCTGGTGAACTGTGATCGAGACACACCCTGGTTGCCCAAGGAGGATTTGAACGATGAGAAGGTCTACAGCAAGGAAGGTACCAGCGGGACCCACGCTCGGGGTTGGGGGCAGGGAGAAGCAATGGAAACACTCCTGCTCAGTCCTGGGCCGGGCCAAGGCAGAGGCAGGAGCGACCTTCAGTCTCCAGGGGGTGGTCGACTGACGTATCCACTCTTGCTAAAAAAAAAAAAAAAAAAA